CTTGGGATGACAGGACAGTGATGTATCTGTGTAGGATAAATGATCCTCCTCAGCTAAATGCCTTTCTTGGGTCTGCCTCTGTCATGCAGGGCTCATCCTTGCTCAGTAAGAGGAGCCACTTGTGCTGGCTGTCAGTGGGAAAGAGCTCCTGCACCAGTCAGCAGCCACCATGCCACCCATCCCGGTTCAGAGAGGACCCTTTGTGGGGCTGGCAGAGCTGCCCTGTAGTCACTGCTAGGTGGTGGGACGCACTCTTCAGTCGCAAGCTGTAACCATGAAGGACATCCCTTTCTGATCTGCTCTTCAGCCCCTCTGCTTTCATATAGTCAGTTAGGAAAGGGTGGAGAAAAATGCTTTTTGATGCTGGCGGCTGTACTGTAGTATCACTTGCTGTACAGTTTTTCGGTACAACAGGAGCCAAAGTTCAGCAGCCTTGAAAATGCCTCTGAAATCTTTTTGTCAAGGCTTTAACCGAGGTCACCTATCTTAAGACAAAGGCATGGAAGGCAGGCACAGCAGTTTACAGTTTGGGCTTTCTCTTTCATCGTTTTTGTACTTGAAAGATAACTGTAGCTGTTATCCTAGTGTAAAGGTTTGAAATAAGGAGTAAATTTTCATATATTCATCTGGACTCAGATGAGTATTCTCTATTCTGCTCTTACCTGGTTCATGACAGTTCCAAACCCCATCTAATTTACTTTTCTCCCTGAACAGCTCCAGGATTTGTTGTGTGAGCAAAATGAGGGTAATAAAAAGCAGCCGCAGGGATGCAGACGTGGCGATTTTTCTCTTAGCTACGTGCATAAGCAAAGGTTCTGTAACGTACATTTAGTAACTGTCTGTGTGGATACCGTATTAGCCTGCAAACCTTTGACCTGGACCGAATGGCTGGTTGCTATGGCAACAGGTTGCATAGTAACAGGTTTTGTTCCTATGTTGAAATCGTCTTGCTTCTCTTAAATGTGACGTTTGAGGAGGTCAGAAGTTGTTCATCAGATGAAACTAGGAAATTTTTTTCAAAGGAGAGGCAAAAACGTTAATGTTCCGCAACCTGAGCGTCTGCTGAGGGATAGTCTTTGTTCGTGGCTGTGCAAGAAGGTAGGCAGCTCCCCCACCTCCACTTCATTGAAGCGGAGGTCAGAAGCTCACCATAAAAAAAAAAAGCATTTCTTGGAAACAAGATGACTGGAGGAGCTTCAGGGGAATTTGTCTGCTGTGTGACTCCCACTCCCAATCCCACTAAAGGCAGTAGGCAAATATTAACAACTTAACACTCCAGTAACCTTGAAAATTTCTGAGCTTAAAGTAAGCCCCTGATCAGCTGCTCTCCAGCTGGACTGCTTCTAAACCTCTTCTGACCTGGTCCTGATTCACACTGGAGCCCTTTATGAATCTCAGTTTTAAAGAATTACAGCCATACACTTCAGAAGAGCAGTTTTTTGGCTTTTTGATGGCACTGCTTGACAAGGTCCCATGGCAGGAGACTGCCATGGGGGCACAGGGGCTGAACTTGATCTGCAGAGGTGACCTCCCCAGAGCACTGGCAGAGCCCACTCCAGTATTCAGCAAGCACAGCCAAGTGTGGCAGAAAGCTGGCATGGATTGTCAGGGACCTCCTTACTGAGCTCAAACTCAAAAAGAAAGTGCACGAGCTGGGAGGGACTATCCAGGAGGGACATAGAGACAGTGGCCAAGCTCGCAGGGAGAGAGCTGGGAAAGGCAAAGCTCGGATGGTGCTGAAATGAGCTACCAGAAGGATTTCTTTGGGTACGTTTGCAACACAAAGGTGGCTGATAAAATGTGAGCCTGCTTCTTATTGGGGCTGGAGCAAAGGAAATTAAAGCACCTGATGCCTTTTATTTTGCCTTGCCTTTCACTAGTAAGGTCTGTCCTCAAGCTTCCTGGGTTTCAGAGTCCAATAGCAGAGTCTGTGGGAATGTAGCATTACCCACAGTAGAGGAAGACAGTAATATAGCTCTTGAGCTAATTGCATGTGCAGCAGCCCCTGGCACCAGACAAGGTACTTCCAAGGGTGCTGAGGGACCTGATTGATGTGACTATGAGGACACTTGGCAATCAGATGAGGTTCTTGGTGGCTGGAAAAGGGCAAATATTGTGCTCATCTTCAAGAAGGGAAAGTGTAAATGTCCTGGCAACTGCAGGCTAGTCAGCCTCACCCAAGTTCCTGGGAAGGTAATAGAGCCAATCCTCCTAGAAGCCATCTTCAAGCACATGAGGTCCAGGAAGGCATTTGTGACCAGACAGTGTTGAATTTACAAGGGCAAATTGTGCCTGACCAATCCTATTGCCTTTCATGGTGAGAAAACAGTGAATGGCTTTTAGCTTGACTTTAGCAAGGCCTTTGGTGTAGTCTCCTGTAGTATCCTTATGGCCAAATTGGTGAGATGTGGATCGAATGAGATATAAGGTGGGTGGAAAATTGGCTCAAAGATTTGTGATCTGTGACACAAAGTTCAAGCAACTGCCAATGAACTAGTCCAACCACTTGGTGGCATCCCTTGGGATTGATACCGAGGCCAATACTGTTAAATGTCATTAACAACATGGACAATGGGATGGAGTGCAACTTCAGCAAGTCTGTGGATAAAATCAAACTGGGGCAAGTGGTCAGTACACCAGAGGTGCCTGGGCAGGCTAGAAAAATGGCAGACAGGAACATTATGAAGTTCAGCAAAGGCAGACATGGAGTCCCTTGTCCAGGGTGGAATAACCCTGTGCACCAGTACAGGGTGGGGACTGCCTGCCTGGAAAGCCAGGAAATGTCCTGCAGATGCTGGTGGATAAGTTGAACCTTGGCCCACAGCACGCTCTTCTGACAAAGAATGCCAGCCCTGTCGTGGACTGCATTAGCAAGAATGTGGCCAACAGGACCTGGCTACTTCAGTAGTGCCATGTCTGGTTTTGTGCACCCTGGTACAAGAAATAATTTAAATACAGGAATGAGTCCAGTGGAGAGCAACCAAGATGGTCAGGGGGCTGGAGCAGATGATGAATGAGGAGAAGGCTGGGAGAACTGGGTTTGTCCAGCCTTCAGAAAAGAAGGGTAAAGGAGGGTATTATTGCTGCCTACAGCTTTCTGATGAGAGGACGTAGGTGAGCTGGAGTCTTTTGGGAGATCGGTAGTGAAATGGCAAAAGGGAATGCAGGAAACTGAGTAGATACTAGGAAGAATTTCTTGCTGTCAGGGTGGGCAAACACTGCAGCAGGGGCCCTGGGAGGCTGCTGGATTCCCATCTGTGGGGACAGTCAGGGCTCGGCATGACCCTGGTGCAGCTTAGTAGGGTTTGGATTGGGTGACCTCCAGGGGCTCCTTCCAACCGAGATCATTCTGCAAGTCTCAGACTCTTTTCTCTTTGGCCATAGAGAAAAGCGAGTGTTACTGAGAGCCCAGCCCGGGACTCTGCCTGTAGGTGAAACTGAACATGGGTTGTGTGGTTACGTTACCTCCTTTCTCCCTCTCTCTCTCTCTCAGCCCTATACATCTCTTCCCAGGTGACCAGTGTCATCATGTTACACCTCAAATATTTGGTAATGACATTTCACTGTAATCTCCCTAGAGAAATCTTCCAATATCACTCATTTCTTCTTTTATATTAAAGACACCGCTATGTGTTTTACCCTTGTACCCTTTTGGCACGTATGAAGTTAGCAGAGTTCAGCACTGATAGGAAAATATACATAGGCAGGAGCTTATAGAAAAACAAAATCCAGACATTACATGTGATTGGAGAGGGGCTTTCTTTTTTTTTCCTTTGTGCCAGTTGATGTAATTTCTTAGCAGCTGTCAACCTCTAGTGCTCTCTGAACAGTCACTCACAGCTGCGCTGCTGCACTGTGATGCCGTCAGAAAAGAGTCACAAGGAGGAGTGAAGTGGGGTTGTCCATTTATCTATTTAAGTTTCAGAAGGATTTGAAGGGTTGCAGCCAGGTAGTGGAAGTGATTGAAAGAGTTCACTTGGGTGAAGGCATTGGCGGTGGCAGGAAGAACAGCGAAACAGTAGAAACAGAGTTTGAAGGGATGCTGTGGCAGGATGGAAGTAACAAAAAATGCAGAGAGGCTGACTTGGCTTGGGTTCTAGCCATTTTTCCTGTAAATCTTAAAATTACTTTACAAAGTGTTGCTAGTCCTTGGGATTGGGGAACAGTGCAGGTTGGAAAGGTTATACCAGTTGCCCAGTGCTTCCGCAAATCAATGGCAAATCATAAAACCATCAGGAGAATTTATTGCTGGTGGCCCAGCAGCGTGGTCAGCGAGCGAAATGCCTGGCTCATCCTCCATATGATGCAGTTGTGGCAGGCATGTGCTTTTGGGAGATGTAAATCTTGAGGACATGTCTGCTTGTCATTAAAGAGATGGCAGAGCTTCCTTCGTGCATGGAAATATCAAGCAAGCATCTTGACCAAATTATCAGATGGTTGGTTGCATCTTGATACCGTAGGACATGCCAGCGGTTACGTGGGGGGAAGAAAAGATGCTCTTTGCTTCCTGTTCCAAAGTATTCCGCCTATGCTGCCGTGCGCTGCGAATGTCCGTGTGGCAGCTTGGGGCAGGCTGTGCTGCAGACGCTCAGGAAGTCAGCAGGGTTTATATAAAGCTCTGCCGGGTTTGCAGAACCTTCTGGCTCCTTTCCAGCGTGGAAGCGACGATATAAATAGAACGTCTCGCTTTTGAAGTCTGCCTTCTATTCACGGAAAGGAAGAACTTTGTGCCAGAGCTGTGATATAATAGCTGTTAAATACAAGCCTCAAGACCAGTCCTATGACAGACTGAACTGCTTGACCACATTTCAATGGGATGCAAGCGAGCTCAGCAGCCTATAGCATCACATCTCTGTTAGCTGGTTGCTGACATCTGAATAAGGTTTGGCTGTATGAAAGCAGAGTTCAGGAGTAATCCATCCTCTCACCTCCCCTCCCAGCTACTCCTCTCCCCACTAAAAGAAAAAAATGTTGCTCTTTTTTTTTTTCCCTTTAGTCAGATTAACAAAATGTTTGGGACCGTGGTGGTTGGAGTTGGAATTGCTGGCTTAGCACGGATCCGAGACTTGATGAATCCAATGCCTTCTAGCCCTTCTGAGCACCTGAAACTCCTTGGATTTGTATCCAGGTCAGAAATTTCATCTTAGCATGCTTAATATGGATATTGTAATGTTCCTTTCTTCTGGTCCACATGCCTTTCCGTGTGGGGAAGTATTATTTGAGGGGGGCAGGGGATGAATATCCAAAGTTTTATATTTCCCTTATTATTAAGTCTGTCTGAAAAGGGAAAGTTTATGCAAATATGCCTGTCATTCTGAGTGGCAGCTAGGAAATGAGCACAGAAAGCTTTGTAAGAGGGAACAGATAGGTTACCTCAGTGAGATACCTTGCAGAAATGACTAAAATAAAAGCTGAGAGACATTCTCGCTGCAGGATCTGTGTCATAAAAAGAAATGCAATTCTGTCTGACTGAAATTTCCTGTAGGTTTAGGATGGTACAGACAATAATTACACTAATGAGCTAATGTCTGCATGACATTTGTAGAAATGTTTAAAAACCAAAAAGTTTTACAGAGTTTTAAAAAGTTTTTTTTTACAAAAACATGTTGTAAAGCTCCTAATACTGCAACTTCATCGGAAAATTCTATTTTTTTTTTTAAACCAAGTACTGAACCTGTAGATGTCTCTAAAGAAAATCCCATAATTTAATACATACCGTAAGGTTGCCTCTTAGGGAGCAAGAGTTTTTCTCACTAGCTTGGAGCTGTGAAAATACAGCGTATACCTCCCTCTGAGCATTTCTGGTCTTCCCCATAACAACAGAGCATAAAGGTTTTAAATAGTTAGGCAGTGCATGTATGGATCTCAGACTGTGAATGTATTTTTCCAGCTATATTTAAATCATGCAGTCAGGGTTGTTTGAGACTGAAAGGACCCATTAGGTCATCCAGTCTATCTCCCTGCCAAATACACTTTTGGTTCCCTGATGCCTTTGCTAGGGCTACAGCTAGCTAGCCTTGAGCAACACTGGAGGTAGGGTTTCCACTGCTTCTGTTGAGAAACAATGCTGTTGAAATACATAGTTCACAGACAGCTTCCTTGGAAGTGTTGCCTTGCTCTTTGCATCCCAATCACACGCAGGCATGACCAGTCTTTGCTTTCAAGTCCTGCTTGTGGCCTACCGTCTTGCCCCTTTGTCACCTATGCTGGCACTGTCAAGGTGTCTGCTCCAGTCTTTACTAATGCAAAGGGCTTTTGTGGGGAGTGTGCGTGTTCCATTGTCAGGTGGAGATGTGCTCAGGGAGGTGGCCGAGAGAGCCTTCCCCTTAGCACTGACATGATGTGTGTGTTGCGAGTTAGGAGCCATCATAGCCAAGCATCTGCTTTGTCCCTCTCCTGCTTGTCTGTACTTGTTGTAGTTGCACGTGACCCTGCCAACTCAAATGCTGTTGCCTGTGTTGTCCAGCATGCTGAGGAGAAGTTATCCATAAGAGCACTGTGCTCTTTCAAGTCACTCTTTTAAAATTGCTCTTTTGTAAGTATGCTTATTAAAAAAAAAAGCAAAACCACCAAAACTAAAAACCACTTTACACTTCAATAGTGTAAAGTAGGACAGTTTCTGTATTGATACCACCACCTACACACTGACCCATCTGTTTCGTTCTTTTGTGCACTCCACTTCTGTCTCTAAGTGCTTATACCCTTCTTGGATCACAAGCTGCCTTTGTTCTACCCTGGTTGAAGTCAGTGAGGCAGTGGTCCATGGGAACAATTTCTAAGTGCTGCTGCACAACATGCAGTTGGGAAGAACGGACTGTGATGGTTATGCTCTGGTTGTATTTATGCTAAATACGCAGGAGAAGTTTTGGCAATATTAATGAGGCCAAGCAGATTAGCCTGGAAGATGCTCTAAGAAGCAAAGAGATACAGGCAGCCTTCATCAGCACAGAGAACAAAAGCCATGAAGAAACCATCAGGTATTTTGATATTTTTTTTTCCTTTTCCCACCCTTTCCCCTGTAATTTAGAAGCATAGAGGAGCTGTGTAAAGCTGTTGCAGGAGAGGATGTGGATACTGGAGGAGATGACTGCCAGACTAGAAGCCTGAAGTAAATGATAGCAAGTTCCCTAGAGCGCCCAATAAGCCCTGGAAGAGGGTAGGATTTAGGATGCATTTATTTCCAAAGTAATTCCAATTGTGTACCTGTGTTTGATGGACAGGCAGCTTAAAATGGGGTTCAAGGCCTTTCCTTACAGATGATATAGAGGAAGGGCACTGCAGTGCCCCGCTCCAGGCACTCGAGTGACTGGAAGTTAGAAATTGCAATGTTCAACGCTGCGGCATTTTAGTGACTTGATGTAGGTGAGTGAGGAAATTCTGTGGAAAAAGGAGAATTAAAACCTCGCTCTCCTGGTGTTTAAATGTGTGATATAGCCACCACACCATCCTTGCTAGGGAAGTTGCCATTTATTTCTGTTACTCCATGGTGTGCATTTCTCCAGATGGGGCTGCCTGCAGGAGAGAGATGATTATGATGATATACTTTTTAAAGACTGATCTTGTATCCCTTTCAGAATGTTTTTAGAAGCTGGGAAACATGTCCTCGTTGAGTACCCCATGGCTTTGTCTGCTAAGGCGGCCCACGAGCTCTGGGAGATGGCTGAGCAGAAAGGTAATGCATTTGTTCTCAAGAGTGTAAACAGTATTGTTGGGTTGCACCAAAAGCATCAAACTCAGAGGCAGAGCTCCAGTCTACTATTAATGATGATGTACAAGGGAGTATGCCTGTCTCAGAGACGTGTCAATCTAGGATTTAAGATGTGTGCCACTGGGGAAATAAACACACAAATGTCAATGCTAAGAGTAAGGTATGTTTGCCCTCAGAAAAGCACTGGTCTCTGCTTGTGACGCTTAAGAATGCGATTGGAGAAGGAAATGTCTGCTGCAGTGATAGTAAAGCATTTAATAAGCATAGCTATTGCACCTCCCTGTCCTCTCTCTCCCTGAAAACAGCTCCCCTACCTTCTAGTGTTTGTGATGTGCTAGTCACACACAGCTGCTCATGCTTTTTTGTAGGCTGGCAAGGCATCCCTGTCTGAAAGACAGCTTGTCTCTGAGCAAAATCTCTTTATTTCTGGGAAGTGTGTGGTCCCAGCCCTGTGGTGCCAAGGCTCAGAAGCTGGCAGTTCAGCTGAGGCCAGTAGGGATGTATGGGGCTGCAAGGAAAGAACAGTGCTGGGCAGGGGCAGAGTGCAAACCGTTTGGACAAGCTGCACTATTTATACCACTGCTTCTTAAAAATTTCCTTTGTGACTTTTGTCATAAAACACCGGAGGTATAGGATTTCTGCTTTGCTGTTTCCCTGTACCGACACCACTTACGGCCTTGTTGCTAGCCAAATGGCTTCCCATTGAGCAGAATTTATGCCTCTTCTCTCGAAGCAGCAGCCGTTACTGTCAGCAACCTCAATTGACTCTCCTGGAAACCTTCCAGAAAAACACATTTTGAATGAGGGCCACATTCAACGTGTATCGGATAGCCTCAATTCCAAAGGAGCCCAATTAATTGCAATGGAGGGAGGTACTCCTTAACATACTGTTACAATCTGGGTCTGAGTATTATGCTATTTTTTCCACCTCCTTTTTCTTTCCTGCTACCCTGGGAGGAAAAATGCAGAACAAGGAAATGTGAGGGGAAAGAGGCCAAGAATTAATCTGTCTTTTACTTTGAAGACTAGTGTATCAGCCTTAGTTCAGTACTGGGTTTCATTACAGAGTTTCTGTTAAACATAGTGGCTACTGTTCCTGTAGTCTCTCTATTTGTTGTCTCCTGAAAATCCTTAACCCAGATTGATGCCTCAGTGCAGGGCCCGTGTTTGGTTTTCTTCCTGACATTTTGCCAGCCATGCGTGAGAACATTTCTAAGTGAGTTCCCACTGGTGGCTGGTGAAGACTTCACTGCTTATACGTGCCTTTGATTTGCAGAGAGTGCTCTTATTTAATCTGTCCTGATTCTTGGTGGGTTTTTTTGTTTGTTTGTTTATTTCTTTTTTAATGGCAGATAAAGTCCTCCATGTGGAGCATATTGAACTTCTGACTGAAGAGTACAAGCAGCTGAAAAAAGAGGTGGCTGGGAAAGACCTTGTGAAGGGAACATTGCATTTCACAGGTCAGTAGCTGTGAAATCGAAGTCCATCTGGATTTGTCTGCCTGCTCCACAGGGACACCAGTCCTTCCAGGCTTCATTCAGTCCTTTTAGATGAGTCTGTCTATAAACTGACTGGAGACACAGATATCAGTTCTGGATATTTCCATGAAATTGCAGAACTGTCTGGAAAACACTTTTGCCTTAACAGTTGTCTTCTATGGGCTGTTGCTTTGCTGATCTCTTTCTGCTATCTGATGAAGAACGCAGGCTTGTGCCTTGTTGTGTGGAGGAGAGAGCACTTCATGCCTTCTGTACTTTGGTGGTAGTGACCAGTTTCTCATTCATATTGGTCTCAGAGAGGAGGATGAGCTCTAAGGAAGTGTTACAATTTCTAGTGGGGACTTCTAGTCTTCTGTACTGGTGTTTGGCCTAGAAAAGCTGGGAGAGATTTTAGAGCCATTTTTTTCTCCCTACTTTATTCCCTTGTTGAATCCACATACACCCTCCTGTCCTCAACATGTCCTGAAGGGTTTGTTCTATATGTACTTTGTGCCGCCTGCTTTGTCACAGCTTACCAGCTGATCCATTTCAAGGTTGACCATGTTTGTTGACTTTCCTACTCAGTCCATCCACTTATGGCCTTTCTACACCCTGGTCTCTAAGTCTGCGACACTGCACTTTCTTCAGGCTTTCCTATGCAGAGGACATTACTCTCTTTCCCATTTCTCAAGACTTTCTGTTGCTGTTGCACCAGGTAGCGTCCTCGATGAAAACAAAACAGGATTCCCAGCTTTCAGTGGAATTGCCCGGCTGACTTGGCTGATTGACCTCTTTGGAGACCTCACTGTTACCTCTGCCACCAGAGAAAAGCAGAAGGATAAGAATTATTCCAGAATGACCGTTCACTTTCAAACGGCAAACAAGAAGTAAGTAATGGCCATGGCAGCAGGTGAGCTAGGCTGCTTGGGTGTGGTCTGCAGCTCTTTCTCCTGTGGAAACAGAATGGATAGATGCTGGCATGACAGTGTACAAGAGAAATAGACCTGAAAGTGGTTCCTGTAGTAATCACGGTTAAAAGAGGCACCACCAAAAAATGTCTGCTGAGGAGCACAAGGAGCTCAAGGAGCACAAGGTTTGAATAGCTCTTTTCTGATGTATGAATGTAGGAATTGGCCCATAATGCATTTTACCATGCCCAAGACTGAAAGACCCTTCTCTTGCACTCAGAAAAATCATTCAGAGGCACAATATTTTTTGTTTAGCATCAGACATTCTAGTTGTATGTTGAAAGCTAACCTTTCTTTAAAGGTTGAAAATGTATGACTGTTTGAAAAGGTTATGCACTAGTCATAACAGTTGGTTTATAGCGCTATAATGCTTGTGCTAATATTTAGTACTAGCTGGAGGTTAGCATAAAATTGCACATTTTGAGCAGAAGTATAATTGAACTAGTGAAAGGCCAATGTGCAAAATTTGCTCTGGACTGACGCCTGCTCCACAGTCCTGAAGTTTCTTTGATTTTTCCTGAGTAGGACATCACTCTGTGTCCTGTTTTCTTGTTGTTTTGCTTTGGTTGCATGAGCAACAAACACTGAGTGAGAATCCAGCAGTCAGGATTACTTTTTTCCAGTTGTCGCACTATGACTTTCTTGCAGAAAACACTTTTGATGATGTATCTTATAATAATGAGTTTTATCTCCCTTTTATTATATGATAACAATAGGCTTGCTATCAAATAGTGTTTCATACTGTGTATTCTGAGTATTCAACTTGGTCCAAACTCTGGCGGTGTATTTTGCTGGAAACTCTCCAGTTTAGTCATTCTGGGCCATCCGCATGGAGGTCAAGTCCTTTTGCTTGGGTTGAAGTTACTTAAGAGGACAGTTTACTGCATGCTATAGGTACAACTTGAGAATTGGCTGACATGAAAAGATATAGAGAATTTACCCAAGTACTATATGTTTCCTAGGAGGTACGAATGGTGATGGAACAATCTGTTCTTTTCCCTTCACTGCTATTTTCCTGTTTTTCCATATAGTGCACACTGCCTTTGAGCCAGATGACGCCCTCATAGCATATAACAAGAGGCAGATGAGAAGACTGGGGTGAGCAAGGGAAAACTAGACCTCATGGGAAAATATTCTGGCTTGTCTTCATTTGTAATAAATTACCTTTTTTTTTTTTTGTTGCACTTTTACTGCTAGAACACTTAAAACAAAAAAAACCCCACAAAACAAAAAAGAAAAAACCACCAAACATGAATGCTTACTTCTTTATGAATTTTAGATAAGCCTATTGTTTAAAAAGTAATAACCTGAAGGACTAGCTATTTGGGGAGTGAATAATCAGGGCTCATTTGAACTGTTAGTTTCACCGCATTATTAGTTAAGCATTTTATCAGCCAGTCCTACAAAGCCCACTGCAGTTTATTGAGGGATTAGCATCTTCTCTTAGCAATCTTCTTCTCTCTTTAAATAAAACATCGTTTCCAATTCCTTTTATAATGCAGTTGTGAGAGGACAGACCTTTGTATACAAGCTCTGTTTACCCTCTTAGCAATTCGCCAGTAACACGAGTAGCTGTAAAGACCTATATAAAGTGAGATTTTGAACTAATTCCAGCAGGTGGAACTAGTGGGTGGCTTAAACATTTCCCTGGCTGTCCTGTCTCCTAGGTAGTGCTTAGCTGCTATGTATGACATTTGCTAGATACAGAACCATTTCTGGATTAGTGGGTTTTTCCTGCTCTACACCACTAACAGATACCTGCTTTTCTTGGCCTCCTGCTGGCTATTTGTATGGGTCAGTAAGCGTTTTGTCACCATGGGTGTTTTAATGACCTCGGGGACAGTCAGCTTTATGGCTCTGAGATAATTTACGCCGACTGGAAAGTTACATAGCGTTCCTGTATTCTGTTCTGTGGTGGGGCCATATTTCCTGCTGACCTTCCCCCATTGACGTCAGTGGAGTTACAGCAATAGAGAATTTGGCCCACTCTCCATCAAGTGAAGTTATGGCCCAGCAGTCGTGGTGGTGGTGTTACGGCTTGAATTTGCCCAGCCTTTATTTTGCTGAAAGATAGGAAAGGTCTGCACCTTTCCTGAGAGCTATCTCATCCTTTTTCAAAAGAGACGAATACACTAACCTTGAGAAATCAGGTTAATTCAGCCTATTTTCTGCCTTCGAAAATACAGCAGGTGTAGAATGCAGCAGGCTGTGTTCTGCTTGTTAACCGGGGATTTGTGCAAAGGCTATAGTCTGTCTCCACTGCACAGCCTGCGCTGGCTGCTCATCTGTCTCTGGGTGGATTTTGGAGGTGTGTGTTAACGCCTGATGCCCAGCTATCTGAGAGATGACCTCTGCCTCTGTTGTGTTTCCAAGACAGTTGAGCTGACAGCCTCTCTGCGATAAAACATTGAGCAATCCAGGAAAAGCCAAACCTCTGCTGACAGCACGGCTGGTTTGGGACTGCAGTTTCTGTCCCAGGATTACAGAGCTTGGATTCAGTAAATGTCAAAGATGAATTTTTAGTGTGAGCTGGAGAGATAATGATTTGGGCAATGTCTCTTTTGATGTTAACTGGGGGTAGAGTCTCATTGTCTAATTCCTATCCAAGGTAAGATAGCCCTTTTTGATTGCGTGGTGAATAAAAAATACTGGCATTTCCAAAGTGTGAAAAGGAAGATGTTTAAAAGAAATGGAAGACATTTTCTGAACGCATATTCTGGCGATAAATGTTTGAAATTATGTTTGTATTGAGATCTAAGCTTACGAAGTCTAATAAAAAAGCTTCAAATTGAACATCCATAAAAAATCATGTAATACCTGCTTTCTGCAGAAGTTGCTGCATAAAATATTAAGCTGAGTGGACCCAGAATTCTTTCAAGCGTGAAACCAGCTTAATTCTTCTGCAGGTACAAAGAATGTTCACTTCATTTTGTTTTATTTAACTAGGACAGTCCAACTAGGGCCGCTCATTATTTGAAGAAACAGGCAATCGGAAAAGCAGAAAGTCTCTTCCAATCTCTGAATAAAATGTAACTAGGAGAGCTCTACCAGTCTGAAATCTGGAAAGACAAAACAACCATAAAAAGTCAGCATGGTTTCTTCACTGCAGATAGTGCTTGCTTTGTAAAAAGTCTGTATAAAAGTAGTTTGCTATTGTTTGTTTAAACTTTCTTTTTATTCTTTAACTGTCCGACGTATTTAAAGTGGCTTTATTCAGCTACCAAAAATGCTGCATCTGTTGCTCTTAAGTAGCACTACTATCACTTCTAAATTACTAACTACATCCATAGCTAGATAATACTTTAATACAAATCTTTAATGAAAATGGGTAAAATAGCTATTAAAAAACCAGCAGTTCTTCAGAATTTTCTAACATAAAATACAAACCCGTTTCTTAAACTACAAAGTTGCTTAAATAATGTGCAGACTTGCAGCATATGTATCTTTATAGCAAAAAAGGGACTAACTTTAATGTAGAAGTTGGTGTTAATTAAAAATTAACATGTTTTGCTTACCAATCAAGTAGAATCATACTCTTTGGGAAAATAGCTAAAAATCCAATCACAGAAGATAAATCTATTAGTAAACCCAGCATTTTCCTGCTCACTGATCTAAATCAGTCATTTTAATCACTTTGATGAGATTCGGCCTGCTCTGCGTGATTGTGCTTCTGGTTCAGTGGCTTCCTCAAGCTAGAGGAGAAGACAACACACACTTAAGCCTGGTCCTTGGTGTGCATCTGCTCTAGATCACCCCAGGGAGGTGACCTTGCATTGACACTGCCAGTTTTTGATCATATTGTGGACTCTGTTTACATGGTGGGGATCTTTGCCTGTGCCTGCCCAGTGCTTTCTTCCCACCCGCCTACCTGAGATAAAGCAGCTTTGAATAACTGGTCTGAACCCTCTGTTGCTGTTTGCTGTCATAAGAACATAAAACCGTCTCTGTCGAGTCAGAGCAAAGCCCAGCTTGCTCAGCTGCCTGCCACTGACCGAGGTCAATAGCCAGGGCATTGGGGAAGGAGGGTGAGAACACCAAAACCACCAAGTGATATGGCCCACAAGCACCCTCCTGGCCAGCATCAACATGTAGCCTTGGGACTTCCTGAAATGCTTGCTATCTTTGTGTGGGAAATTGGCTAGCTGAGAAGGGTAACATAGATATGATCCAGCTGGCCGAGCAGGAGCTTGGGAAACATCGGACCCAGTTCCTGTGATTGCTAATTGGCAAGGGCACCCTGACCCTGACTGCAGGTGCTACACGGTAATGAGAAGCCTGTGATTACTAAGGCATGGGAAAAGAGGGAGTAGTTGCATGGGAAAAGAAAAGGTAGCTAGCCACAGATAAGGAGCTAAGGGCTGGATTGATGAACCAATCAGAATGCTGTATTATGGAAACATGTATGTATTAGCTAATTATAAAAGACAGTTGTGCTATTCAATAAACGAAGCCGAAGCTTGCTGATTGCTCATATTGAGTATCCATGTCTTCCCCCGTCGCAACATCTTTGCATTTACTAGTCTTCTGAGGACTTTTTTTTTGGTGCATTTTTGCAGGCTGTGATTTGAGTCCTTCTTTTTTTTTTCCTCCGATTGTTTTATTCTGTTCAGTCAGGTTCATAATTTGTAGGGGGGGGTGTGGCAGTACAGGTGAGCAAAGAATAATTGATACAATGATCTGAATATAGAATATAGATTCTAAAGCATAAAAGATGAGAAGTGCAGAATCATTAAGCTGAGTGCTCTGCAGAATGTGTTCAGGCTAGACTGACAAGGACTTTCTTTCCAGATCTAATGATATTGAAGATTTAATGGGCAGTACTTGGAGACAGAATTTATTCTTCCATGCTATTGATGCCCTCATAATTTGTGAGTGGCAGACTAAAGTGGGCCATAAAGGACTGTGGAAAGGCCATCAATAACCACGTAAGAAAAATAATGTGCATCCTCTAAACACAGGCAATAGTGAGTGCTGATGAATGAGCTGCAGAAAGGTAATGGCGTGGTTTAGGCAGTTGACAAAAGAGCAGGAAGGGAGGATCGTGGCTGTGGCTGGTGTTGAGCACCATCCCTCAAAGCCTCTGCAAGCATTTGCAATGTTGGGCCAGGGAGTCTGTTAAGACCCCTGAAGTGATGCAGCACCTTCCATGGCTCTTCTTTCCTCAGCCAAGCTTGGAATTTGGGAAGAAAGTGTGAGGACCTGTGAAGTAAGCGAATCGATAGCCAGCAGCACCTGTGCTGGGCCTAGAGGCTGTGGCTATCGCATCGGCATAAGACAGGACTTCGCTCTGATTTACAAAAGACCTGCCTGACAGTCTGTGTAGCTGAAACAGGCAAAATTGACATCTCCTGGTGTAACCTCTAGGATCAAGTCAGTGCTCCCAGTGAAGAGAAAGAAACATATTTGAAAATTTCAGGGAGAGTATGGATGCTAGTGGCTGCATGAGGGAACTTGCCGTCTGTCCAGCCCATCCTAAAGGGGTGGTGTTCAGCTTGCACAGTAGCACCTGCGTTGTCACTATGTACCCGAGTTGATTATTCTTCCTGGAGGAATGACTGGACATTGAAGGCCTTGTGAGTTCAGCTGTGATTGAATCACACACAAAATATTTGCATGTTTAACTGCACTTTTCATCCAAGTCCACAAACAAACAGATTAAACTTCCCTCTTCCCTGTGAGATGTCTAGACGCTGCTGGCTTCTCTTTGTACATAGGGAAAGCAAAGCTAGAGAGAGCTTAGATGAGGTGCTGAAAGTCATGGCATGAAGCAGTGGCAGACTTAAGACTATTACCTGGTGTTCAACTCCGTAACCACATGGCATGTTGGTCAGAACATGTTACCTGAATATGCAATGACTGAAATTTAAAAATCGTGCATTTACTATGGCATTTTCTGTAAATGATGAGGAAAAAAAGCATAAACTGTAACTGTTGATTCCATTTCTTCATAAATACTCTTCTTTTTCTCTGCTCCTCCACACTAGACCTCTGACTTGGATTGAAGAAAGGGGACCAGGGATGAGACGTGAAAAGAAAATCAACTTCTGTTTCACAAGTGGTTGCCTGGAGAACTTCCCTCAAGCCCCAAGGTCTGCTGTGGGCCTTTTCATGCAGGATCAGAACCTCTTTGCTAAAAAACTGCTGGGCCAGGTGTCCAAGGAGGAGCTGGCTGCTGAGAAGTGGCGAATTTTGCGGTGTCTTGAACTTGCCGAGGTGATCCAACAGCACTGTGAACAGCCAGAGAAAATCTGTTCCTGAGACTGCTGTTAGGGAAGGAGGAACGCGGCAGATGGGAAAGCTTTAGGGCTAGAGCTCACTGTTGCCATCAAGCAGTCGCTATTTCTGTTTCATTATCTTCTTTTTGACTAGTTGTGACTCCTAGGCTCTCTAGGTGGGCTGGAGAACTTGGGCTATCCCCTGTGCCTTCTGGTGTGTGCCAGAACAAAGCATCATTACCCTGCTCCGATGCATTGCCGTCCTTCCAGGCAGATAGGAACCTAGCAGCAACAAGCTTTCCTGTGGTTGCTTCCACTCGATTCAGTTGGAAATGTCCCTGAAAGCACATCCCGGAGGACTGCAAATACTAGACATGATTTTCTCTCCTGAGGGTTTTTTCCCCCCTCTTTCCAGATACGTCTGAAAATTAGATGTGTCTCATTTAGTAGTATTCATGTAGTATTAGCTAGAAAGAAGTATTAGCTAGAATGAAGTTCTAGGTGAGTTTTCCACCTCTTTACTTGATCTGCAGAACTTGTGCCACCACAGTCCTGACCTTTTCTTCCAGATGCCCTGAATTGTTCTGTGTGTTTGCTCTAATTAGTAGTTGTGCCTGTTTGTTGGTTTTGGGTTTGTTTGGTTGTTTGTTTTTCACATTGGAAATCATCTGCCTTCAAACAGAATCTACATTGGTATCAAACCAGAATAGAAGAAATATCTTGTCTCTTGACAGATGCCATGTTGAGTTCACTCAGTTTCTCTGGTGCCCTGTGCCAACATAGGAATCTTTTTTCCAGCGGAGACTAGAACAGCCCATTAAACTAACACATCACCTGCCTGCTTTCTACTGAATCTAAATATTTTTCTTTTTTTGTACTGGAAGCAGTGTATTATTGTCCTTCATTTGTGTTCTGTATCTAATTCATCATGTGAATGGATCACTGCTGAAAATAGTATACATCCTGACTTCAAGAAGAAAAAACCTAATGTGCTCCTGGAAAAAGTGAAATTCATTACAAATAGTGATAAAATTAGAAGAGAACTGTAGAAAATGGAGCGATTTGCAAGTATAGCCATGTGGTTATGGCGTATGACACCTGTGGGGATGAGTCTTCAGCATTTTACAGTAGTCCCACGGTCACGTATGAAGGCATTATCACTTCCCTAAAGAAACATTTTAGTTTTTAGGAAAAGCCTAAACAGCGCACAAAACTATTATCCTCTGTTTGCCTTTTATTTTTGAATTACAGCATCTGCTGGTGCTATATTAATATAGTAACAAACTTCAGTCTGCTCAGTTGTTCTTTTAAACACAGAACCATCATTTCTTTTTTACGTTGTCACTTGAGCAATTTTTAATAAGGGAGCATAAATGTTATGAATGCGTACACAATTACAGCCAGTAATACTGATGGAAGAAAGTCTTGGTTTAGGTAAATCATGTTCATTCAGAAGTTGGATACAGTTCAGTTAGTCTGAAATAGGGAAGGAAAGGCTATGTATTTTTTCCCAAATCAGTCACATTTTAGGAGCAACTGGAGCTTGATATGTGAATGAATTCTGCATGCAAAATTTTTTAAAATCTACTGTATCTGTTAAAATCAGCGAAATTGATTGTTTTCAATGGGTTGAAACACACATGGGTGGCCAGCAGATTCATGCAGGCAGATTGTGCACTTGTTCACTTACTGAGCATTCGCAGGGACTTCTTTACCAGCACGATGGACATTGCTTGGGCAGATTGGATGCTGTATGAGGGAAAAAAGTGCATTTGTGGCAAAAAAAAAAAGGCTATCTGGCATCAAAATGAAATTAAAATCTGCTGTGTGTATCTATCTGCTATGTATGACAGCACAATAGAGGTCCTGTTTCGTGACAAAATGCTCAGCTGTGGATATGGGGTGAATACCACTTGTTTACATGCTAATTAAAAACGGGTACCTGGCGAGGGAGAGCAAAGGGAAGGGAGATTGACACTCGCCCTCTACAGGCATCAAAATTAGCCACCTTGTTTCCCTGGGTGCACCCTGCAGTTGCTGGCGAGAGCTCTATTCCTCTAAAGAAATGGGGAATAAATTCACGGGAGCTCTGTAGAGCAGCAGTATAACGTTATGCAGTGAATCACCCTCTGGAGAAGCTTGTTTCTATAGAGAGCGCCTGGGGAAATTAGCTGGTTAATTTGAGCTAGGGAAGGCAGATGCCTAGAGCTGGATATCCTGCGCTTTCCTCCATCCCCCTCCCATTCCTCCCAGCTAACCTGCTTGCCTACTGCTGTCCGCCCTGCTCCTGGGAGCCTGCGGCGTTCAAATGGCATTTCCTTCAGCCCTGTGAATTTGCTGAGGTACCACGATGATTTGTATATGAGAGCTAGTGGATATCAAGCTTCAGACATACATGTTGTTTAACCAGATGTCAAACTCACCAATAAAATATTGGAGCTTTTAATCATTCCTTTTAGTTCCTTTTGTCTTTCATTAGCAGTTCCCATTGCCTGTGCTGAAAGTGGCTCTGTCCTGACCAGTTCTTTTCTCCCCTTTCACTCCTCAAGCCCTGTGAAATCCTGCCGGCAACTACAGGCTGTGATCCTATCCCAAAGCCCTCTGCTGTCTCCCTCTCCTGTTTCAAAGTTTTGAATACAAGTGTGGTGTGGGGTTTGTGACCTTAACTCATGAGCCCTCCCACAAAATTCTTGCCCTTCTAGTCCCATCTGGCTCCTGCCCAGGAGTGCTGGCAAGTCTAAATCTCAGCTGTATGCTTCCAGTTTCCCGTTCAACAACTGGTGTGTTTGAGCAACCTTTTTGAATCTGCTAAGTAGACTCTGAAATGGGTATTGAAATGGATTTTTTTTTTTTGATGGTTTTAATAAACTCCTTTATCACAGCAGAAATACTATCAGAAGAATTTTTCTGACAGTATTTGGCATAGCCTGAACCCAGCCAGTTTTAGAGATGCAGAGGTATGAACAGGTAAGTATAAGGTGTGCTGTGGGCAGGTTGGTATATCATGTTCTTTGGAGGTAGCTGCTTTTCTACTCTTTCTGCTGGAAATCACCCTGCTCCTGTGGGATGGTGTAGGAAGTCCGTTGCAGTACACTTTATTAACTCTGCTTGATGCTATGGAGTTATGGAAAGTGCTGTAATACAAAATACTTCTACATGAAGGAGGGATGCTCAGTTTGCTGACACAGGCTGAAGCTTGTCTCTGGCAGATGAGAGGCATGGAGCCATTAACTACAACACACTAGATCAAACCTGGAAGAGGTGGTTTAATCCAAAGGCCTTTTCAGAGAGCTAGAGATCAGGGAAATGGAAAATTTCTGAAGAGCAAAGAAACTAGCTATTGGTATGAGGACTTGCAAAGCTGTGTGGGAAACTCTGGCTGAGAGGGAAAGAAGGTGGATGTGGTTTTGGGATCAAGTGTTTACCTGAGAGCCTATTCTATAGGGGCTGGGTCTAATTGAACTGTGTGATTACTGAGGACTGTCAGGAACAGTATGGGAACATGGGAGGTGGGATGGAAAAGCAAAGAATACCAGGGCACACTGCAGGACCTGCTTAAGCTGGCATTATTTACGGAGAGGATGTCATTGAAGAGCCCAGAGCAGATCAAGCTGACAAGGAAGGTGGAAGGCAAGGGGCATAGACCAGAGCTGTTTTTTAAATGGCTCTAATATGTCAAAACTGGCTGTTTTAAAATTAGTAGTGTGTATGGCATCTGAGTGAAACTGCAGCACTGTTACAGAAAGTGCTTTCAGGCTTGCAGGTCCTCCAGCAGTCTGTAGAGTAAAGTCTGTTGTAAAGACTGAACTGTACACATAATTTCAGCTGTCACTCAAGATGTTCAATTTCTTCAGGTTGGCAGCGTGGTCTGGGGCCTCACCAAACGTGATCCTGGCTGGATATCTGGCTCTGTAATGATGTCTCCAGTGAGATTTACAGAACTGTGTGCTGATGTGCTTCATGCAGCAGCATTTACTGCTCCCCATGGTACGCGGTATGCTCTGTGCAATAGTAATAAAACATAATACCAGGAAGTCAAGGATCTCCAGTAATAAAATGACTCCAGACTTTTGACAAAGACAGCAAGGCACTTGGTTAGCCTTAAGTGCTGTAAGCTGTATCTGTAGAGGATGGATTAAATGAGGTTACAGGACTCTGTTCAGAGACCTGTTAGAGCTTTTTCTTTAAAGAAGGGATGTAGCACAGGTATTAGTGCAAACTTCAGCCCTAACCCAGAAGAACCAAGACGTGCAATGGGAAGACAGGAGATGTCCATGCTGTACAAAACACAGGAGCCAGCTCTGGCTGAGCTACCTTGGGTACCATGAGGACCAGCTTGTGGTCTAATTGCATTCATTCATCCATCCACACGCCCATCCATTCACCCATCCATCCATCCATCCATTTGTGCCCTGGTTCTCAGCAGAGCTAGCTGACCTGCGTGGAGCACTGGGCTAACTCATTAGGCTATGTAGACATACCTGCAAGTCAGGCCTAAGTGCCCATTTGGCTCCTGGCCGGCCACCTGGAACTGTCAGCATCCATAGTATGCTTTCTCCTGTTTACACTTACCTGTTGGGAGCAAGGGGAACCCAAACACAGCTTCCGACCTGTAGCTTCTGCGTTCTTGCTGACCCAACCTGGTTAAAATGGACAGCTGTTTTCTCGCCCTTCAGCGGAAACATAAGGCTGAGGAAGCACAGGGCTGCCACATGGTGATGCCCACAAAGCTGCGGGAATGCTCCCGGTGTTCCAGCTGGCAGAGCTTCAGGCTTAGCGCTTGTCTCCCATGTCTTGGCAATAAACACACCTTACTGAGGCCCAGCTGCATGCAGATAAATTAAGAGGGAAACTTCAAAACTATAATTTAAGTAAAAAATACCATCATGAGAAGCTCTGAGTAATTGCCTGCACATACTCATGCTAGCTCTTACAACAATAAGTGCATCCTGGCCTAATAAAAAATCACTTACTTAGTCCTGGTTACTGCTTCAAAAAAATTCTCTAAAACTTCCTACTCAGAACATCTTAAATCTCATGGGAAGAGCAACCGATGTCATCTACCTGGACTTGTGCAAAGCATTCAACGCCGTCCCACACGATACCCTGGTCTCTCCATTGGAGACACTTGGATTTGACAAATGGACCACTCGGTGGATAAAGAACTGGCTGGATGGTCGCAGTCCAAGAGTTGCAGTCAACAACTTGATGTCCAAGT